GCTGCGAATTGACTCCGTTGGATTTTTTTTTGTGTGGAGTCGTTAAGGACAAGTGTTACGCTAATTCTAACCATCCAGAGACGATTGACGACTTGAAACATGAAATCGAAGTTGCCATTGACGAAATAGAGGCCCAAACAATCGAAAATGTACTGAAAAATTGGACTGATCGAATGGGGTATTGTAAGGCTAGCCGTGGCAGTCATTTGAATGATGTTGTCTTCCATTCCTAAATGGAAAGGTTCAATCTTTCTAATAAACTCATAACTTTGAAAAAATATTCATTAGTTTTTTTTTTATAGCCGATTCAAATTCCAAATCTTAAATGGCCCACCTTGTAATTTATTACGCCCAAGAAACGGCGCAGCTCAGCGATTGTTTCTGATTTCTTGAACTAGAGAATGTTTTCGACCTTCTCGGGTGAGAGTGAGATTCCCTCCGAGACCACGAAAACGCGGAATGGAATTTTCTATGCTCCGAACGCGCACTTTGGCGCATTAATTTGTCACGCAGTCCCGTGGTAAAATCTTGAATAAGCGTTCAAACCCCTGTAATCCCTGCATGGACGTCAGGTCTCGGTCTTACCTTGTCGGACCATATAGAACAGTGCGACGCATGGGCTGTTTGATGACAGAACCCGAACTCGACCATATAATTGTACTCTGTCATCGCCGCTCTGCGCATCTCCAGCGATAACCTTCTCGGTGACGCCGCGACAGGTGGCCCATTTGTCGTTACATGATGTTCTACACCGTGTGTCCTCTCCGTCGGTTCCGGCACGAAGTGAGTGATTCCTGGGAATTCTGTGAAAATATTGTGGTACCTGGATTCCGGAACCACGGTGCTGCCTGCCGCGTGGTCGTTCTGCATTATTTGAGCTTTTGTGACATTCTCGTTATGTTGTCGACCAGCCGCTGATTCTTCAAGTCAACCACCAAAGCAAAATGGCTCAGGAAATCCGCGCCGAGAATTCATGGTCGCACGTCCACCTCGCAAAACCTTCACTGTAACCAAATCGGGTGTCAAAAGCTTCTCGTCGAACCTATCGAATGTGGTGCCGTTTGCTGCAAACAGCTGCACTCCTATCGACGCTGCTTTTTTGTATCTGTCCTGTTTAGGAATGACTAAAATATCGCCGGTACCCAGCAGAAAGTGCAAACCTGTGTGCCAGTCCGTGACGTGGAGGCGCCTCTGTGTAACGGCACCATCTCCGGCCGCCTCTACCGGAGATGGCTCGGGTCGTTTCCCGTATTTGGGAATTTGTCGGCCATCAAGCAAGGGCTCGTACATTTCCAAGCCTTGTCGCCGAACTTGCGGTGGTAGTAGGAAGGTCGTATGCGTGTTGGAGCTGGTGATCTCGTCGTTGACGTCGGCCTGGGTTTATTTCTGGCTCCTTTATCGTGTTTCATTCGACTGCGGTTGTAATTGGCCTCCATGGCCAATGTCGGAGTCACCAATTATGTGGTGATTCCCACCTGCTAAGCCTGTTTGACCGGAGGAGGTTACCACATAAAATTACAAATATGTATTATTACTAACAAGGAGTGTATTTTAGGTGTCCGCCTCCGATTGCTTTGGTTTTCGGATATGTTTTAGAGGACCGAAAAATAAGAGATACGTGTTTTTATAACGGCCCGTTCTCATATTTAGGGGGTGAAACCACCCCTCAAAGTTTCGACCCGGAAGTACTATCTCGAAAACCAGAGGAGATACATGAAAACTTTCAATTGGTGGCTTTCATGGTTTTTTATGTACAATAAACTGGTGTTAACAAATTGTCAAAAATACAATTTGTTTATAACAAAAAAATTTGTTATAACTTTATTTTACAACTTATTGAAATTTGCGTAATGATATAAAATGACGAGCACTTAATTCCAAATCCATTGGTATATTTATTTTTCAAAGTCTGCGAAACATATTTTTCAGGAAAATAACGTCGCCAGAGTTATTCTTGTGCCGCTGCATACGTTCGTTGAAAAACAACAAATATGAATGACACAAGACATCACGTTTGCAAATAAAAGTTGCTTTTGCAAACAAAAAGATTCATAAAAATTATATCAAATTTTTTGAGAAATCGAAATTGACTTTTATAAATTGACCATTATTTAATTTTTATTAATATATTCTCCGAAAACCGAGGCACTCGGAAGCTTAAAGAACGGGCGTGCGCACAGGATATAAATAATAAAAAACTGCGAGACTAAGGAGGCAATTTCAAAAATAAATATACCAATGGATTTGGAATTAAGTGCTCGTCATTTTATGTCATTACGCAAATTTCAATAAGTTGTAAAATAAAGTTATAACAAATTGTATTTTTGACAATTTGTTAACACCAGTTTATTGTACATAAAAAAACCATGAAAGCCACCAATTGAAAATTTTCATGTATCTCCTCTGGTTTTCGAGATAGTACTTCCGGGTCGAAACTTTGAGGGGTGGTTTCACCCCCTAAATATGAAAACGGGCCGCTATTAAGAAATACGTATTTCTTATTTTTCGGTCCTCTAAAACATATCCGAAAACCAAAGCAATCGGAGGCGGACACCTAAAATACACTCCTGTTAGTATAAGTCTGTCTTTTTATTAAGACCTTTATTGCGTCAGCCGAACAAAAGCAGCATTTCAAAAATCAATAATTCCAACTACTTAATACTAAAAATCCTAACTCTAAAAAGCGGCGCTAACATAGCGCTGTTGTTGGCGGTGTTAGTATGGCAGTGCGTCTGCGCCTCCATAACCGTGTGTCGATCCCGATCAGATCACGTTCCAATAGTTATCAGCACACTCCTTGCACGTCACGTACTCGTTTATTAAAGAGAAAACTGTAAAAAAAAATTAGAATTCTGTAGCCAAGAGTTTCTTCTTTAGGCACATGCACATCGTGAGCAGTATTAACATATTGTTGACAGTATGCTGCAAAACAAATTGAGCCTCAGTTCCCCCGCATTTTTGGTGTATATGTGAAATATAAACATACCTATTCAGAGCAATGTAAATATTTTATTAAACTAAGTCTTGTAATAAAAATTGGTTAGTACTAGTGGTAATAGGTTAGTGTGGTCTGAGTAACGTTGATTCGCGTTTACCGTTTTCAGCGCTTGAGAAATGAAAAATATAACTCTTCTTGAACAAATCACGGGCACGCACCTTCGTTTGGGCTGAAAGATCCTCATTGATTCGCAAATCCTGTGGGGATACCCGAGTGTCGCTATTATCTACTTCGATATTTATAATGTCTATACTCTCTTCTTTATTTATTAACGATAGTTTCGCTAATTTCTTGAAATCACGTCCTAGCACTATCGGGTTTCGCATCGTTTCGTCTGCAGCTACACGTAATACCACATTATATTTCCCGTAATCGCAAACAAACGTCGCTCCTACAATACCTAATACTCTTAATCCACTGCCGCTAACGCCAGAAAACCGTTCGCGTCTTCAATCGCTAATTATATATTTCCGAGGAGTGAAACATTTCTTAACAAAACAGATGGCTATCCGAATCGATTTACGCATTCAAATCTATTTTAGAATTACCGTCCTTATTGTCTATCAGCAACTCTACCATCCGCTGGAATTCGTCCTCGTCTCGCTGTTCTTGTATGACACAATTGCTGGAGAATTGCACTGATTCGCTCGATGTTCGAATTTTGTACACTTCATGCAGGACCCTCGTTCCCCCCGTGATTCCGCGCAGTCTGCCCCAAAATGACCCACGTTGTTACAATTGTAACACCTCCTCGACAAATCCGCTTCCCTGGGTTTACGTTGCTTCTTGTCCTGCTGCTGTCCATCTTTGCCTATCACTGGGTAGTCCACATGAAGTGTACCAACATCGCGATGTTGCGTATGAGCTCGGTAAGGAGGTTGCAAATGCCGTCAGCATAGTTTCTATAAATTGGTAACAATGTACTTTAGCCTGCGTGCGTAGTTTCTGACTAGGGATGCCCCCAATGATGTAGCCGATAATTTCGAATCGTAGTGCAACGTGTACTCGGTTTGCCAGTGTCACTTTATCGTGGAAACAATCAGCGAATGTTTCGTCTGCATTCCAGACCTGTGCCTCAAATTCGCGACGTAACATCAGCTGGTCGGATTGTTGACCGTACATCGTTTTCAGCTCTCGCAGAAGATCCTCATTGCTTAGCTCGACGCAGTCAACTCTCGAATGGTACCATGCCAGTGCTTTGCCGCTAAGTCAGATGCACACCAACACTTTTGCACAGTGTTCGCCTATATCATAAGAGGCTAGTAATTTTCTTATTTGTTTGTCCTATCAAATAAAATCAGATCGTTGCCTCTAAATTCGCCGACTAAATCTTTCAGTTCTTGCCAAGCTGTTGCTCTGGCTCGAACAGACGCAGCTGCTTTCGGTCGCGATGACATCCTTTAAGCCTCCAGTCCTCTTCTCAGGAGCTCAGCTTCGTGCGTCGCGAAATCTCTTTCCATCCGTATGCGTTCGATCTCGAGAGCACAAATTGACAGAGCATGGCTTCAAGCACTTGTCCCCTGTTCAGGCTTGCCGGCCTGCGATTCGTGCATTTCATCGGGTGTTTGCTCTGCTGCATGTAATTCTTCAGCACTCGTCAGCGTAGTCGCGGTTAGTTGTAACGTCGTTTGCAGGAGCCCCGCATCCAGCAGCTTGATTATCAGCTCGGGTTTGTTGCCCGACGTTGCGTAACATGCGTGACTGTCTTAGAAACGCCTAACCTTTCAAGTAAAAAATAACATAATTGTAATGACAGGCCTGGCTGCTAGAGGACAATTACGTCATTGTTGTAATATCACTTGTTCACTATCTCCTTTCGTGAGAACATCAACATAAGTGATAATTGTGTCGCAGATGTAAAAAGTCGCTTTGTTTCCGCGAAGGTACCAGTCCACCGGTCACGCATGGCGTCATGTAGTACTCCGGCCAATTCTGAACACATTTACAGGCATTTTATAAATTATGCTGACATTGTATATGATCCTTAATATTATTTGTATAGTACATGTTTATTCTGTTTCTGTTATTCTTGATTCAATTCAGTATCGCTTGTGCTTGCCTTGCCGTTAATACCAAACAGCAAGAGCAGCTAGCAGAACAGGTAATATCACAGTATCGTATGACTTTATTATTTATAACAGCAGCTATATTTTTTATAAATTTTAGGGTTGGAGACGTGTTGGAGATGATTTAAAAGCAAAGGTTCAGACTACTTTTATTTGCTGTGGTTTTAATAGCACCAGTACATTTGTAGATGATCAAAGTCCATTATCTTGCAAACATGTTAATGTAAGTATACTTAAACTAAATAAATATACTGTATAAACATAAACTAATTTTTTACAATTTTTCTCACTTTCATAGGAAATCTGTTGCCCATATCCCACGGAGAACGACTGTATGTGTCCAGCCTGTATGCAAAAATTACAATCTACAATTGATTATGCATTTAAATTATGTGGCAGCATAGGATTGTTCTTTAGCTTCACCGAGGTAAATTTTAATAAATAAATTTTTATTTTGTATAAGATCACTTTCAAGTAGTATACAGTATCACATGTGTAAAGTGCAGTGTGAAAGTTATATACTGTTTCGAGGATACATTACATTTGTGAAGTGTTTCTCTTTGTTGGAATGAACAATGTTATTATGCTGATGTTAACTTGTCTACCCATTGCAGTTTATTGGGGTTTGGTTGACCGTGCGGTACAGGAACCAGAAAGATCCACGAGCTAATCCTAGTGCTTTTCTCTAGTCTAACACCATCGCTATGTCCTCTGTCACCTCATATGATCCTCCTAATAGATGGTGGGTGGTTTCATTTGTGACTTTTAAATTTTATATATTATCATATTGGTACTTAGAACCATATTTCTTATGTTGTGTCTACAATTCGCGTATAACATTACATCATTTAATAGACAAGACTTACAAAAAGATATCAAAGTTCGGATTTAAATATGTTTTTATATCAACCCTTTCGTTCCCACTGTTGTCATGTGGCTACGTATTTTAAATTACAAAATAAAATATTAGAATGATATATTTTTTCATATCTGTGAGTATAGAATAGTTTCTTCTAATGTAGTATAAATGGTATGGTATGGATTTGAATGTACATTTAAAAGTTTTTCGGTACAATACGATATTATTTGTCCTTTATCCCCTTTATTTGATGGAAGTCAGGAGTTCACATTGTTACAAATATAATAGAAATTTATAAAACTCAGATTTCTTTCAAATATTTAAAGAGGGTTTATTGATGAAATGTATGTATTATAATGGAAACTATTATATATAACTGCGATAAAAGTAAAAAGGTTCCCAAATGGCAACGAATGAAAAACGACATTAGACAGTTTCAGAATGTTAAAATATTCTTGTGAATCATTTGTCATGTATTATACACAAAAGTAGAACAAAATAATTCTTGGGTAATATTTATATAATGTGGGAATGAAAGGGTTAAACAGTCTTATTAAATTGTCATAAATTATACACTTCGACTACTGGTGTTAGAAACTTTAAAGGCTGATTCTATATGCCAAAATAAGACGAAAATCAAGAATAACAATTTTGCGTTTAAGGCACCGTTTCCGCATAACAGTAAATTCTTGATAAATGCTCGGAAAGAGTCAAGCGAGTACTGGAACATATCAGCGGCTTCGCTTTCACGAGCCGATGGCTGACAGTTGAGAGCTAAAAAAGATTGAATCTTGAATAATTAAAAAAATACAACTTTTTTATTTTTAATTATTTTGTTATGAAAATTTCATTAAATTAGTGACGAGATTATTCCGATTACAATGTTATTAAACACAACAAAATTGTGGATCATTTGTAATTTATCAGAGGTGATTATGCAAGAAAATGATTTAACATGAAATAAGTAGATATGATCCAAATGATATAATTTGGTATTATTTTAATCAGAAAAATATCACTAAAATGATATTAAAATTTTCATTAACGCATTGTCTGCCACAATAAAATAAGCCGTATGTAGCCAAATACACTTTATTTTGTTTTTAAATCATAAATCGTCGAAAATATATACGATTAGTTAATACCGGCTGTTTGTCTTGTTTTAAAGTACATTACGATATTACTTTTACGCAAAACTTTTGTGACGGTTTTTAAATAACCCAGCCCCTTTGCAATGTTTCAACTACGAATTATCTCGTAGTTGAGAGTTAACGTGTTAACAACGAACTGAAAATAAAATAATTTCATCATTGCATTAGTATTTTCACGCCCATGTCTAGACTTCTAATCTCTGTCAGCTGCCGCAACCGTCGCTGCCAACAAAATATACAGTGGGTAAAAATAGCATTCGTACACCCTTTAAACCAGAACAACTCTTTCATAATTGGGCCAAGTGACTTGAGTTTCTGTGTGAAGTTAGAAGGATTAGTTTACTAAAGGATGTGTTAAATAGTAAATGTCTTTCTTTACAACTTTTTCGTCTGAGACTAATGAAAATTTCATAAATACATTTCAAAAATTTATGTCAGTTATATACATGCTGCAACTTTTATTGAAATTGGTTAATACAGAAACTAGTAACAGGCATCGAAAGATGTAAGAATCTTTAGATATACTACAGTTGTAGGTCAAACGTAGCAAAGATCTGCGATTTTCAACATTTTTAACCGTTTGTATGTCATAACAACGTTAACCGATTTCCATGAAATTTCCAGCATGCATACAACTAACATAAATCTAAGCAACGTATTTGTTAAGTTTTCGTTACAATGTCAGATAAAAAAGTCGCAAAAAGCGACCTCTACTATTTCCTTCGTGATTCCGACCAATTGCAACTTTTTCAACATTTTGTCAACACATCATTTAGTACAGTAATCCTTCTAAGTTCACAAAGAAACTCAAGTCACTTGGTCCAATTTTGAAAGAGTTGTTCTGTTTTAAAGGGTGTACAAATACTTTTCTTACACACTGTAATATGAAGACGAGATGCCAACGCTTGTAAATGCTCGCAAGCGGTCACGAGTTTTTAGCATTTATTAAGAATCTACTACACTGCTTCAACCACCTATAAAAACCCACTTACCTCGCAGCTGAAGTGGTGACTTTATATAACTCCTTGTCATATAGCATGTTAGGATTAAGGGGAAGGCAGTGAGGCGCAGACCGATAACACGTGGATAGTTAAGAACTGAATTCAATATATAAATATATAAGAATACACAGAACTGGATAAAACGCGGTGAAGCGTGCACGAGGTACGACGCGAAGTGTCGCAGACGCTACGAGCGCGCGGGGGCACGCATCAGCTCGCTACCAACCTAAAATCGCGGTACGATGATTGGTTGCCAATGTCGTACCAACACCCCCCTTCGAGTTGATGTGTCTACGCGCCGATCTTTACTATCATTAGACGGGCGCGCCGAGTCCGCAATTTTTAATACACCATTCGTGTTTCGGCCTGGGGAGGCCTTTAGTGAATACATCGGCAATCTGATGTTCTGTAGATTTGTGTATTACATCAAATTGCTTCTGCGTGAGCATGTCTCGAATGAAGTGGTGCCTTATATCAATGTGTTTACTTTTCGCGTGAAAAGTAGGATTTTACGCCAGTCGGATCGCGCTTAGGCTATCGCAAAATACATTAATTTTTCCTAGCTCGTCGAAACCGAGCTCTCCTAAGATTCTCTTCAAATGCACGCATTCCTTGGCGCATTCCGCCAACGCAATGTATTCCGACTCGGTTGTCGGAAGTGCGATCGTTCGCTGCCTCCTCGCGTCCCAGGAAATCGCAGACCCGTGCAGCAAAAAAACGTATCCCGAGTAGGAGCGCCTATCTTCAGAGCTGCTTCCCCAATCTGCGTCAACGTATCCGTTGACCGGTCCGGATTCTGGTCCATACACCAATCCCAAATTGATAGTTCCCTTCAAATAACGCAGGACCCGCTTCGCGGCCCTCCAGTGTTCCTCGCCATAGCAATTGTTGAACTGGCCAAGGAAGCTCGCTGCGAAGCTGATGTCGGGTCTAGTTGCAGTCGCCAAGTATGTCAGGGCGCCGACCAGCTCTCGATACGGCAGTTCGGTGACCTCCTGATCTCGCGACTTGTTCTTTTCCAATTTCAGAATCGCCTGAATTGGTGTGGTCACCGGGGTTGATTCGGTCATTCCGAATCTGCTCAATAAGTCGCTGATGTACCCTCTCTGGTGCATGGCTATGCGATCTTTGTGTTGCGTGAACTCGATACCCAGGCAATAATTGACGTTCCCTATGTCCTTGATGTCTAGATGCTTCGATAGCTCCTGTCCAAGTTTGATGACATCTCCCCGATCTCGCGACGCAACCAAAATGTCATCCACATAAACGGCTACCAGCGTCACGTTTTCTCGTGTGTTGATGTGGTACAGGCATTGGTCTGAATTGGTTGGAGTCATCCCGCAACTTCTTAATATTTGGTCGATCTTGGTGTGCCAGCTTCTTCCGGCCTGTCTTAGGCCATATAAGGCTTTCTTTAATAGGCACACTTTGTTGCCCTTCTTGAGATCAGACAACATCTTTTTCGCTTTAAGACCAATAGTGGTTTCTTGTTCGCTTTCAGCAATTCTTTGCAAAGTTTCATGTAAGTTCTTCGGCGGCTCCATATATAACTTTTCTTCAAGTTCTCCGTTCAGGTATGCTGTTGTGACGTCAAATTGCCTGATTTGCATTTTGTATGCAGCTGCTAACGACGTCATCAGTCGGATAGTTCCGATCCGAGCCACCGGTGCAAATGTTTCTGAGAAATGAATGCCCGGTTGTTGACTGAAGCCTTGCGCCACTAAACGCGCCTTGCGCCTTTCCAGTGTGCCGTCGGATCTGAATTTATTTCGAAGTACCATACGACTTCCTATAACCTTTTCATTTTCAGGGCGACCGACCAGTGTCCATGTATTATTTTTGATGATCGATTTCATCTCGTCATCGATGGCTTTGCTCCATTCATTTGCCTCAGGGCTGGATAGAGCCTGCTTTATGGGAACTTCGGCGAGATGCGCTTGTTCTTCTTCGACGGTGTTCGCATCTTCTGTTACTGTATTGAATAATCGTCGTGGTCTTCCCCTCATGCCCGTTCTGATTAGGGAGGGTTTGTCGCGACCTCTTCTTGGGGGACCCTGAGTGTTCTGTTCTCGTTGAGTTTCAGGTGTACTTGGTTCGATATTATTCGAGTCGATACCATTATGCAATTCGATGTCTGTGTGATGGGTTGTGGACGCATCTTCGTCCTCGCCTGGTTGCTCTTCAGGGGCGAAATCTACAAATTTATTTTTGTCTTGTGGCGTCTCGTCGACGAATTGCTGATAATGACCTTCCTGTCATCTGTCGACCAGATTCGTAAACCCTTGCATTCCTCAGCGTATCCTAGAAATATACCTTTCTTTCCGCGAGGATCAAATTTTCCTCTTCCTAGTTCTCTGTTTAGGAAATATACTCGGCTGCCGAAAACACGAAAATGATTTACGTCGGGTATGTTCCCGGTCCATACCTCGAACGGCGTCCGCCCGTTTAAACTTTTAGAGGGTGAGCGGTTTCGAATATAATTCGCTGTGTTAACAGCCTCTGCCCAGAATGAAGGTGGAAGACCGAATTCCATCATTAGACATCTGGCCATCTCTACGAGCGTTCGATTTCTTCGTTCGGCCACTCCGTTTTGTTCCGGATTGTATGGGATGGTTAATCTTCGAGTTATTCCGTTCTTCTTTAGGTAATTTTCGAAATCGCGATTAATGAACTCTTTTCCGTTATCGGATTGTAAACATTTGACGCTCGTTCCCTTTTGCTTTT